TAAGAAGCTCCAAGGAATGCAAATTATGAATCAGGAGATCTGATTTCTATTCCCAGCTCTACCACTGACTTGCTACTGTGGACGGGTCACTTAAATCCTGATACTATTCCCAGTGGACCAAACACTTAACCTCGTCATGCCTCAGTTTCTCTATCTATAAACTGGGTAGAATACATCCCAGATGTGTTGCATGGGATAATTTGTTAATGCCATAAATCTTGAGAGCCTCGTTTTTCAAATTTTATAGATGGAGGAAGTATAATAAAAATGACATTCAATGGTAATGAATTTGGTAACACTGTTGCAAAGGCAAAGTAATACCTGTTGGGCTAATGGAGTTATTCTATTTTTGCATGTATCTTAGACCAAAATCTTTCCTATGCAATGATAGGGTACAAGATAAATGTTAATATGGTATAATACAGAGGGTCCTTTGGGACACTCCTGAGAGTGTCAATTCAGGGCAAATTTCTTAGAGACCGGGTTACTTACAGCATAAGGCTGGGGGGTTCTCCACTATCAGGCACCCAATCCAGTGACAAAGATCACAGCTATTCACCACAACTGGCTAGCAAGAAACCATACAAACAATTCTCTAAGACAACTCAGTTCAGTCACCACCATAGTACTCCTTATACAAATGAGAGGTTATGAAAACCAATCTCACCAAATGAAAAGGTTCCTCTGATTCCAAAAGAAGAGCTACGTTCCCAGGTTTAATTTATAATTCAAATCTTACACCAAAAGCATACTGTTAGCCAATCCTTTAGAATCTAAAATCTAGAGATTTATTTATAAGAGAAAAGAAAGAATGACAGAGAAATAATTAAATAAATTAAATACACCAACTGCATAGTTCTTAGTACAGGCTTGTAGCAGAGGTGGAATAATCTGCCATCTTAAATCGAGTCTCTGGAATACGTCTGCTGTTAGGATGGGTCATCAGTCCTTTGTTTCAAGCTTCGTATCATAGCAAAGATCCTCCAGAGGTGAGAATCCAGACTGAAGACAAAATGGAGGAATCTCCAATGCCCTTTTTATATTCTCGACCATGTGGAGGGACTCCTATTGTTCTTCCTGTGTAAAAGTACATCCCAAGATGGAGTTTGTTACATGAGCAAATCACTTGTCCATGCATGACTCAGTTCTTTACAGATGGACTCCATTGCTTCTATTCCAGTCTGAACGTTTACAAAAAAGTTCATCAGATGTCAGTCAAGTATTTCTGTTCATGTGACTGTTAGTTCTTTCATAATAGGCTGCTCCTATTGTTCTTCCTGTGTAAAAGTACATCCCAAGATGGAGTTTGTTACATGAGCAAATCACTTGTCCATGCATGACTCAGTTCTTTACAGATGGACTCCATTGCTTCTATTCCAGTCTGAACGTTTACAAAAAAGTTCATCAGATGTCAGTCAAGTATTTCTGTTCATGTGACTGTTAGTTCTTTCATAATAGGCTGGCCAAACTGCCTGCTGATGTTTCCCAGAAGCAAACGTTTGAAATATAAATACATAGCCACTACTCATAACTTAAAAAAAAAAAAAAAAGATACATGTATACGGATAGTATAAACAGAACCAGCGAATAATAAGCTTTTTATAGACCTCTTAGTTGGCCCACTTTGTACAAGATTTTGTGCAAACATATAACAGTGGTTGCAGCAATGAACTTGTATTGTTGTAGTTTAATCTGATGTCATATAGGGTCTGCAAAATAGCATTACTCCTAAAGATGAACCCAAGTAATACTGAGTTGATGCTCGTGTGAAGAATAAAGTGCTTTGTGCGCTCCTGGAGTAAAACAACAATCCACAGCTGTGGCATCACTTTGGACACACCAATGCTGCCGGACACCCAAATGATGACAAGGAGCATGTCTTTCCCTCTGGCTACTGTTTACTCATATTTAGTTTGTGATTCATTATGACTCCCATATTCCTTTTTGCAGTACTTCTTTCTAGGCAGTCATTTCCCATTTTGTGTGTGTGCATCAGACTGTTCCTTCCTAAGTGGGGTACTTTGTCTTTATCCTTATTCAGTTTCATTCTGTTTACCTGAGGCCATTTCTCTAGTTTGTCCAAATAATTTTGAATTTTACAGACTTGCAGCAATAAAACAAAACAGTTGTGTAGGAAAGATACAAGGAAGGTCCACGTGACTTCACTATTCTTATTCATAGATCGTTATTCCATTCTTAAAACTGCCACTGTCTAAGAATTAAAAAAACATGGTAAAGCAGGGGTGGCCAACCAGTTAGACACGAAGAGCCAAAAGAGGTGTGGATAGTAGAGCAAAGAGCCACACATCTGTCCTCCAGAGCCAGGCACTCCCAGGTCCCTCCCATTCTAACCCAATGCCTGGGTCTCACCGGAGCTGCCACCGCCACAGCCACGCATTTCTCCCTCCAGGCACTGGGGCGCGTGCTCAAAGAGGGCATGTGGCTCCAAACAAGCCATAACCCTGAGAGCTGCATTTTTGTGAGCAAAGAGCCTAATGTGGCTCAAAAGCCACAGGTTGGCCACCCCTGTGGTGGTAAAGGATATTCAAAGAAGGCCACAGGGAAATTCACTGCAACCTAAACAACAACATGACTTGTCGTGCTCTGCAATATTAGTCACTACTAAGCAAATAACTCAAGCAAATTCCTCAAGCAGTTTCATTCTTTTTCATTTCAGCATCACTAGAATATTAAAGTGTTAATAAATAATACATAGCTCTTACATAGCACTTTTCATCAGTTAGAGCACAGAGTAAAGTAGAGCAATACAACAAAGGAGGTCAATATCATTAACCCCATTTTCCAGATGAAGAAACTAAGCCATAGAGGGTGAGATGAGTGCCATGGTCAAAGCTGGGGACAGAATTCAGGTCTCCTGAGTCTGAATCAAGGGCTCTGTCTGTTAGACAAGACTAAAATTTTACACTCCTTGCATGGTTTTGGAAGCAAAGCTGCAAAGCTTAATAATGTACAGTGAAACCTTTGTTATCTGGCACTCTGTTAACCAGAAAACTTTAATTGGCATTGTCTCCAGCCACAATACTGTCACATCTTCAGATGCACAGGCCTGGCTTGGTTTACCATGATTGGCTTAACAATTTTTTATTTAAGAAGTACTAATCATCTTTAACTCAAAATAGAAATGTGAGACCAACTGCCTCAAACTACAAAACTACCAATATTAAAAACTTGAGTTTTACTATTATTGTCCTTGGTTTTTCCTAGGTTGATGGGACCCTCAGATAACCGGAATTTTTAGATAATCGGAACACCCTAATCCCCTAGTGTGCCGGATAACACAGGTTTTATTGTATTTAAATTGAGAATTTATTCTTTATTATCTCACTGTTTCCAATTTGCTACTCATATTAGGACCTGATTCAGTAAAGAGCTTAGGTTTGTCCTTGAAACCCATTGAATTCCATGGGATTTAAGACTGCTTAAATGGCTTGCTGAATTGGAGCCTTTAATTCTAATAATATTTTTTGTGTCTAGCTCTAAATGTGCTGCCAGCTTTTAAAGTGATAGCTTTGACTAAATAGTATTTTCCGTATCTAACGTTTAGTAACATAAGTTGTTATGCTGTTTTGTGAGTAGGAAGGGAAAAGGATAATGCAGCAAATTGCCTTCAGTAGCCGTCTTATTACATGCTAATAGTTTCTGCCCATGTGCACCGGTCTAATGACCTTCCTCTTTCTGCCACTAATGTGAACGATAATTTATCCTTGACTTACATAGGAGCAGGACCAGACCCTTCATATTTCTGCACTGCTCTAGAAGTCGATGTGCACTTGTTCTGTTCCACTGCTTAGCGGGCAATGTTTGACATGGCTGATGTGCCCGTTTTCCAAAATTTGAATGTCAATAAGTCCTACTTAGTGCCAACTTGAAAATCTTCAACTTTTATATAATCTATATGTATATTAGAACAGCTCTTGTGCAAAAGGAGGTTTTTGTGCAAAAAGGTGCCATCTACACAGCACTTTTTTCACAAAAACTTCTTGCTTAAAAGGGAAATGAAGAGGAAATGCAAATGAGAGCATGACATATGCAAATGAGCGCTCCATTTGCATTTGCTCTTCTGGAAGAGGCTCGTAGTATAGACGTAGCCTAAGAGTTACAGAGAAGTAGGATTATTGTCTTTTCTACTGAAAATGCAAATGATGGAGACAGTTAGTGTATGTGTGTCAACATGAAACCAGAAAGACTGCCAATTTATTTCACAGGGCCTACTGATACACCTCAAATGATGATGAGATCCTCTTATGTTGACAACCTAGCACACTTGTTTTTGTTAGATGACATACTGCTTATAGTTAACTGGTTTGAGACAAAATGACACCATGCATAATATATTCCGCAGTACTGGGAAATGATTTGCACCACGCTACTTTCATACCCCACCATCTCATAGGAAATTATTTGTAGATGAGGCTGAGATGCACAGATTTCTTAGTAAGATTTTAAGTTATAGATCTCACTAATATTGCCACAGCCTGAGTGAATTTATCTCTATAGTAAAATAAATTGTTCTCTGTCACCATCAACAAGAGAGGGATGTATTTTCCTTTGGGCTGTGTTGTAAATATTGGGAAGGTTCTATGGTTAGCTGTGAGCAGATAAACATTTTATAGCAATTGAAAGTGGGCAAGGTAGCAGGTCCATATGAGTTCAACCTTAGAAAGTTGACAGGCTGAAGCTGCTTCCATATTGGTTCCATTATGCATAGTAGGTGGGGTTGACCTGAATTTAAACAGTAGCTGCATTGTAAATGGACCCCTCAATGCGATTGACTTTTTTTCTAGTATAGTCAAAATTAGAACAATGTGTTTTGATCATACTTCTTTAAATGGTCAACTCCACATTTCTAAGAGGCTTTCTTTGCGATCAGAATTGATTCAGAAGTTAAACGATATTGTCATTCTTAATGAGCGGATAGAAGTTATCTTCTTAGAAATGCTGAAGCGTGTTTGCTAATGTTTTCAGTTGGGAAATAACAAATTGAATGCAGTGTTTCTGTGTGCTATTGCTATCATAGTCCACTACCCTTTCTTTTTCAGAGCCAAGACGACAGATTTGCTTTCATTGCAGAATGGTATGATCCGAATGCTTCACTCTTTCGACGTTATGAACTCTTGTATTATCCGAAAGATGGGTCAGTTGAAATGGTAAAAACTTTTTGTATTTTCCTAAGCATACTTTTCAGCTACACATGTTGGAAGTTGGTAGGCCACACAATGATTATAATTTATCTTTGTTTATATGTATATGTAAAAGTAAAACATGGTGTCTAATATTGTAGTTGCCCTTGCTATACATTTAAAAAAAAAAGAAGAAAAGACATTAACAGAACACACACCCCTCCTTTCCTATTCTGTCCCTCACAAAACCCCTTTCTTGGGAGCAGCCCATGCAAGTAGATGAGCCTTGCAGCGTGCCCTATAAGTTAATGATGAATAATTTTAAAGGAACTCTGCTTACAACAGTATTTGTTTAAAGCTATATTGTCATAGGCTGTCTGTATGCTGCACTGCTGCCAACATTTGAAAACGTTTCCAGGGAGATTTCTAATAAGCCAGTGGTGGCAGCTTTTTCTGCACAGCTGTGAATGCTGGTAACAGGTTAATTGTATAGAAATATTTAGTCTCTAAAATGCTTATTTCCAATGTGTTCTTGAACCATCTTAGAACACCCAGCAGCCACTCAGTTCTGTACTCTGCTCTGCTCAGCTCCATTGTGCTACATTTTGCCAGAGTATCACTATGTGGTGATAACTTAACACAGACACAAATGTCAGAGTGGGTGTCCACCTTGCTCTCCATATTGGAGCTGGGGAAGCAAAAATGCCCATAAATAACGTATGGTGGGAGAAGCCCTACAGTTGAGATTTTGGGATCTGTTTGGACAGGTATTAGGATAGGATGTATGGACCTTACACTGGGGAGGAAAGTGCCAGAGAGGCCCTGGGGGCAGGACTGTCCCCTCTGGCTTTGTCAATTATGTATGATAAGCAGGAGGCCTGAAAAAAAGGGATGAAACTACAGTCAGGTGAGGGGAAAGGACTTGTGGGGTTGTCAAGCAGGAGACTGCTGGTGTGACTCCTGGAGCCTCAGGAGGAACTCTTGTCCTAAAGATCTTCACTGCTCCCTAAAGGGAATGCTGCGAACTGCCAGGGAGAGACTCATAGGTGTGCGCACGGGGTGTGCCCAGGCACACCCTAATGTTTCAATGAGCCTCCCTGGTGCGCTGGGGAAGGAGGGTGTGGTCAGGGGCAGCGCGGCTGGTCTGGGGGGCGGGGCGGGGGCAGTGCAGCTGGCCCCTGCACCCCCAGAGATCTTCACTGCTCCCTAAAGGGAATGCTGCGAACTGCCAGGGAGAGACTCATAGGTGTGCGCACGGGGTGTGCCCAGGCACACCCTAATGTTTCAATGAGCCTCCCTGGTGCGCTGGGGAAGGAGGGTGTGGTCAGGGGCAGCGCGGCTGGTCTGGGGGGCGGGGCGGGGGCAGTGCAGCTGGCCCCTGCACCCCCAGAGCTGCTTCCCAGTCTCCCTCTTCCTCCCTGCCAACCCCGTGTTCCTCAAACCCCCCCCC